TATTTGGCTTATCAGAAAATGTTGCAGGTACGGTGGCACATGCCTGGATTCCAAGTAACTCAGGAGGCTGGGACAGGAGAATCAAGGCCAGCCTTAGCAACTTAGCAAGGCCCTAAGTAATTTAGTGAGACTCTGTCTCAAATTAAAAAGTAAACAGAGCTCAGTGGAAAAGTGCCCTTGGGTTCATCCCTAATACCAAAACAAACAAACAACCAGCCATAAGACTTTTAGATGAAGGCAAAATACTTGAAAACTTTTGCTCTGTCAAGTTAAAATTTCAATCAAGCCTTTTCAACCTCTGTGATTATGTTACTATCTTTTCTAGAAAACATAACTCTTAAGCTATGATCAAAGGGCATTTTCTAGTTTTAGTATCCTTGCTTCACAGTGAAAGGACATAGGCTTCTAGGACTGCACAGTGTTAGAGAGCAAATGGCTGGTTCACAGCTAGATAACAGAGTTCTCAATAATAATCCAATTACCTGTCACTACAATTGGCAATGTGTAATCCACACTCTTTGGGGCTCTGGAAAACAGAATCGGCTCACTTTAAAGGGAAGATATTTGTGAAGACATGGCATACTGCTTCTTGAGTTTCAAAATTTCTCCTATTACATCCTTTGCATTAAGTTTCTCATTAGTTACACACCATTGCTGTCACACAGCAACCATGGATTTGTTGGGGACAACAGGAAGCATTTTAATAATGTTAATATCATTAGGGAACAGTTTATCATTTACATTAGTTCAAACAGAACTAACACTTAAGTTGAATCAGTACACTTTACAAACTCTCCTAGCACCTGTGTTGAGACTATGGATTTTGATTAAATTGGAGGTGGAGGAAAAGATTTTTAACTTGAAGGGATGAGGACATTTTATACATGGGGAAAGTAGATTTATCAAGGATTCAAATACAATGAGCCCATCAGGTACCTATTATGATAGTTGGGGTTATTAGTTTATAGATTAAAATAAACTCATCCACTTCAAATCTCTAAGGCTGTCTTTCAGAATATGTACAAGAAGGAAATCTATTCTACTTCCTGCTCTCTGGATCTAGCACTAATATTATTATCACGAAAACTAGAGTTTAGCTGACTGTTATTTTATGTGAGGGGCTGGTTTGGGAACCATGTAACACTTGATATCATATGATTGGGCAAAAGTATTTTCTTTTTTTTTTTTTAAAGAGAGAGTGAGAGAGGAGAGAGAGAGAGTTTTTAATATTTATTTTTTAGTTCTCGGTGGACACAACATCTTTGTTGGTATGTGGTGCTGAGGATTGAACCTGGGTCGCATGCATGCCAGGCGAGCTCGCTACCGCTTGAGCCACACCCCCAGCCCCCAAAAGTATTTTCTTAATACCAATTATTTGGATGTGAAGGGGCTGAATTTAAAAATAAACCAGGAGTGGTGGCACATGCCTGTCATCCCAGTGGCTGGGGAGACTGAGCAGGAGGACTGCGAGTTCAAAGCCAGCCTCATCAATTTAGCAAGGTGCTGAGCATTGAAGTGAGACCATGTCTATAAGTAACATACAAAAAAGGGCTGGGGAGGTGGCTCAGTGATCTAGTGCCCCCTGAATTCAATCCCTAGTATGCCCTCCCTTCCCCCGCAAAATACATACCCACAAAGTATGACTATCTGCACACAGACTTGCATTTCAAATAGGCCTTCTATTATTTCTAGTTTATAAGTCTTTGCTCACACAATATCTATCCAATGAGGCCAAATCTGACCAAACTATTTGAAATTGCAATTCATTTCCTCCTCCACTTTTTCTAATGCATCTATAAATATATTTATTATGTCTCTGTCATAACACTTAAAAGTAAATTCACAAATACAAAAATTTTTCTTTGTTTAAATGAGAAACTACATTTCTGTATAAGCTTTCTTCTTGGGTATTACACTGAAAAACAGGTCTGAAGATGTAAAAAAATATACCTTTCTCAGATGATTAAAAAAATATTTAAACTGACATATATAGTTAGTATATTACTTCTTCTCCCTAAGCCCAAGGTAAAGACCAGACATTTCCCTGGTTTTTTTTTGATTCATAAATCATTTGTGATGATTTATGAAGTCTGACATGGGTTACTTAAGAATAGATCAACACTTATGAGTAGTGATATATCCTTGCATGATAAAGTATCCACACCATTCAACTCTGCTTAGTTAATAAGTTATTTATAAAGGGAGTGGTAATAGAACTAAGACTAGATCAAAATTTTTTTCTATCAATCCAATATTCATTCAACATTTACCATGAGTCAAACAAAGTTCACTATTTAGATGTAGGCAACCTAAGCTGCAAAAATTAACAACATCCATTGATAGCTGCAGTAAGAGATGTCTGAAAAACAAAATATGGTACTGATATACAAGTGAAAGTGACAGACTAGGAAGAAATATAGTCTAATTATTTTGTGTGTGTATGTGACAAAGCCTTACTATATTACCCAGGCTGGTCTCAAACTCCTGTACTAAGTGATCCTCCTGCCTCAGTCACCTGAGTAGCTAGGACCACAGACATGCTCCACTGCATCTGGTTCTACTTCTAATTTTTGCTTTAGAAATCTCTGTGACAGGGCTGGGGATGTGGCTCAAGCGGTAGCACGCTCGCCTGGCATATGTGCGGCCCGGGTTCGATCCTCAGCACCACATACAAACAAAGATGTTGTGTCCACCGAAAACTAAAAAATAAATATTAAAATTCTCTCTCTCTCTCCTCTCTCTTTAAAAAAAAAAAAAAAAAAAAAGAAAGAAATCTCTGTGACAGGAACACGGAGGATCAACTAGATGTGGCCAGCCTGGAGACAAGATCACATCAACAGTCTAGATGAGAGATGAGTCTAGCTGTAACTAAAATAATGGCAAGGGGGATATGCATTGGGGTAGAAGTTAGGGAACATGGTGGTACAATTCACTGAGTAAAACACTGGATGTTCTGTACTTCCCATGCATTGTATTAAACTTACCTGACAGTTATTAACTCAAATATCTGATTTCAAAGCCTGAACTCTTGGCCTATTAGCAAAAACTGGCCTAAAACAAGAACTTAATTGCAACATACTAGTCTTAGCTTGTTAAGAACACATAGAAAAATATGTACTGTTGGGCTGGGGATGTGGCTCAAGCGGTAATGCGCTCGCCTGGCATGCGCGGGGTGCTGGGTTCCATCCTCAGCACCACATAAAATAAAATAAAGATGTTGTGTTCACTGAAAACTGAAAAATAAATATTAAAAAATTCTCTTCTATCTCTCTCTTTTAAAAAAAATATGTAGTGTTGGCACTTAGGATTACTGGAGGCAATATAGCACAGAGATGTGTCCTTGAGTTCAAGGTCAAAGGCATGAAGATGAATGGAAAAATAAATAGTATGGAAGGCCTCAATAAAGGCATTAAGATGGATTCAAAGGGCTAGGGATGTAGTATAGTGGTAGAGCATTTGTGTAGCATGTGCCAAGGCCATGGAGTAGATCCCTAGCACCATTAAACAAAGAAACAAATAAAAAATACATTCAAAATATCCAGTGTGACTCTGGCACTGTGGGGATAGGCCCAATTACCTGGCACATCTATTTCATTCTAGAGCTAGAGACAGAAGCTACCTTGCAATGGATTTAGGAATCCATAGGAGGTAGAGACAAGGAAATCAGGGGCATAGATTCTCTAAAACCATGGCTGAGAGAGATAGGCAATATATACTATAGAAAGAGTCAAAGGGAGGTGTTCTTTTTCATTAAAAAAAAAAAACACACACACACAAAAAAAAGACTACGAACATGCAGCACGAGTGGAATGCACAAGGGGGAAAAAAGAATGAAGAAGCTGAAGATCCAGGGAGACGAAATCTACCTGATGAAGTATGAAGTATGAAGGACGGGACATTCAGAGTTGAAAGGATTGGCTTTTGAAAGTGGGTTTTTTCACATCTGATAATCCTTCGATTTCTCCTTGAAGCTGAAGGTAGAGGAAGGAAAGCAAGGGTGGATTAGGGGCTGTAAAGCGCCGGGAAGATCTGCAACAGCATTTGTAGGTACGCGGAGAGGATGCTGCTGAGCAATACCTCACCGGGGCAGCACGGATTTCTGCCGTGTCTCCTTGGAAATCTGAGCAGATCAGGAAAGCCAGAAGCGAGTTCTGCATAAAAAATTCTCAGATGCAGCTTCAAATCGGGGTTCACCTCTGATACTCACGTAACTTACGTAACTTCTTGGGTCAAAAATTGGGGCTGCCTTCAAAGATTCTCTTCTAAGTCCACTGAAGACGACGGTTGGGGGAAATGTCCCTCCCGCAAGACCCACCACTAAGCTCAGATGCATGCGCGCGTGGTCTGAACTGTCCAAACTCTACCTGGCTCAGCACGGGTGTACAGTGCCACGGTGACCATCTACCTGCGTTTGTGGGCGGTTCCACTATCGTGGCAGTTTTAAGGACATGCTTCCGGGTCCCTTGAGCAGAAACCGTCTGCAAGAAGCCAGTTCCCTGAGCCTGTGGACTGGGGTCGGGGAAGGCAGTCCCTTCCCAGCTGAGACCCCCAGCTCGCTCGCCCTTTCTCAGGTCTTTCCAGCCCCCAGAGAGCTACTGAAGTCTCCAAAGACAGTGCGGCCAGTGCTTCCTGGGTCTGGGAAGGGGACCCGCGCAGTACTGGGTTGGGGCGTGCTGAGTCTGGAGAAGAGCCATGGGAGCGGGGACGTTACCTCCAACATGCCTCTCTTGCTCGCCCCGGCCGTGTCGATGAGCGTGTTGTCCAGGTCAAAGAAAATAGCCCGCACGCGGGTCAGCCCCATAGCGCCGGCAGCCCAAGCGACGCGCCAAGTCTCCTTTGCCCGCGCAGGCGTGAGACGGACCGCTGAGGAAAGACATGGGCGGAGCCTTTAGGTCACCTGACCCTCCCGCGCGGCGCTGAGCCACAGCAATCGCCCGTAGTAGCCTCTGAAACTTCTGTGAGATGTCGCAATCTCTGAGCGTCAGAGAACGGCAAGATCCCGCGAGATTTCGAATTTAGGGTTTATAACTCGTGCGTTAAGACTTCCACGTCACAGTGACGAGAAGCGCGGTTTTCGTCATTTTGGTTTATTTTCGCTTGTCTGTTTTCTCGCTTTTGTGTCCCCTGCGCCAGGAGGACGTCTTAACTGCCCCGAAAGGTTTTCTGCGCTGTCCAGCCCCCGGGAGGGAGACTGAGAAGCTGGCTTCTCTGTTGGGCGGCATGCTACTGGGCTGGGAGCCTCGGGCAGCTCCAAAATATTGGCGGTCCTTGATGACCCCAAGTCTGGGTGTAAGGGTAAGTCTTCAGTGTCCTCGCTTCGTGGTTACAGAACGGGTAACTGTCAGCAGCAGGAGCTCAAGAGGAGTGCAAAGCTGTGACGGCCCTTGTTTTCAAATCTCACTGAACAGCTGGTTATAGGCGCTGCTTTCTACTAGATTGGATCCCGGCCACATTGCGCCTTGATGTCTACCTCACTCAGAATGGTAGCCTCATTATAGCTGGAGCCCGCACCGGCACATTTTTGAGCCCTTGGTTGACAACTGTGCCTCAAGATCTAGGGGGCACTGTAGTGTCTGCCTGAAGTTTTGCCCATCTTGATTGCTTTTCCTGAGATCTTGCATCTCAGGTTTCTCCATACCTTTCAGTTGGATGGTTTTCTGGTATAACAAGAGGTAAGGGACCCAGACAGTCTCTTAAATTCCCAGAAAGACGAAATCAAGATTTGTCCTTCTGGAAGTAGAACAAGATCTTGAAACCAGTTTCTAACATTTTTGTCTTTCTTGGATAACTTTTCTGAAGTTTGGATAATGCTGTTATCATCAGTGACTAGAAGTTATCAGGTAAATGAGGCCTGACACACTGATTTTGTGAGTTAGGAGTGTTTTTACACTGTCAAATGATTGGGAAAAGAAATTTTAAAATGAGTATTTCCTGATAGGTGAAAATTACATGGTATTTAAGCTTTATTGTTCATAATTTGTGTGTGTTCAATTGAGTTTGGCCCAAACCAGTCTCCATGCTGGAATGATAAAGTTCTCCCCAGGGTGGCTTCTGTATATAGTGAACAGTATCTTATCTTGATATATAAACAAATTTTGTTACTAGGCAATTGAGTCTCAGTTAATTAGCAGTGGGACCTCTGGCCAATCAAGTTCTTCTTTTTCCTCTGTCATTTTTTTTTCACTTTAAACTATAAATATAGGTTATACATGTGCAGTGGGATATTCTATTTGGAACCAGCTTTCATCTGGAATGTTGCTTGGTCCTAGAACCTTTTTCATGCTGAAATAAGTTTAACTCATCTCAGATTTTTAATAATTGGAATGCAACACATTTATTTCTGTATTGTCTTTTACTGATTTTACTGTACAACAGTAGAGTTGAGTAGTCATAAGTATCATCATATGGTTGCAAGGCCTAAAATATTTATTGTTTAGTCTTTTGCAGAAAAATGTTGCTATTGAGATGGAGAAGAAATGTCTCTGAAGAAGGATCTGAAGAGTTCCCAGAGAGAAGGAGGAACTTGACTCTGGACCACTGGGGTTCTTGGTACATATATAGAAAATAATTTAAACGTGTGTCATGAGGGGGCAAAATTACGAGTATGCAGTTGAGGGGAGATATATAAAGAATGTCCACGTGCTTCTGTCCCTTTTAATGCTTTATTCCCTCAAATTACTCAATACAATTTCACTCTATAGATTCTTAATCAAGAAAACAACAATCCTTAATGCTAGGCACTGCAATAGACATAATCAATTCACAGCAAACAATTCTAGATTAATTCTAAGCATTGCAAAACACAGTTAATCATGACAGGCTAGTGACAGACATTTTCTCTGCATGCTAAGTTCAATCAGATCAAAAGTCTTAAGACTTTAAGTCCAGCAGATGCACACTCACTCAGACCATGGTGATCAGGTATGGAACAAAGGCAGGCTTTTCCTGGCATGGAGTGGACAACTGGTTGAGGAGAGGGTTGTAGGGAGAAGTTGTAGCTCTCATCAAGGTCCAGACAGGCGGTAGAGTTTGAGAGCGCTGAGAATCATGCAAAGAATTAGGAAACGATGACAAGTGATGGGATATCAGTCCAGGTCATCATCAGGCTCTCCGGCTCGAATGCATCCTTATTTTGGCTGGCTGATCCCTGTTCATTAGCTCTATTATTTATATTAAATTTTGAGGCTTTCAACCCCCATTTCAATCCTTAACTACCACCGGATTTCTCCATGACATCATTTACCCTGGGATCAGAAACATCTGGTCTCGTGGTCTCCACCCTGATCTTCTCACATTTCCCTTTTATTTGGCAAGGACAGCCTGCCAGAGGCTTCACTCTATTTATCCAGGTAAGGGGAAATAACTTGTTTGAGGCCATACTGGAGGGATCTGTTGGATGTGCCTAGTGAGACTGCAGGTTTCAAACTGGAGTTTTTAAAATGTAGTTGCTTAGGCTCAGGCCTAAGGCCATTCTCACAGTGTGCCAGTTAAAAACAGAAAGAGGTATATTGAAAGCAGAAGCACATTCAAAGAAGAATGTCGGCTGTCTCAAGGGTGAGAAACTTTGGGAGTAAGGCAAGTGTAGGTATTCTGACTGTGGAAATAGGGAAGTGTTCCCCCTGTGAGCAAACTCCTGAGGGGGTAACTGGCTCCCTGATTCCCACCATTGAAATGCCTAGCAGTTTCCCCCTGAGGCTCTTAAGGTAACTATGCGGGGTGCACTACCTGGTTTCCATAGTAACATCCTGGGGGTAAGAGGGTCTGTGTTTGTATTAACCTGGACCTTATCTCAGCTAGCACTCAGGGTTAAAGGAACTGATTAGAGTGTAGTCAGGTATGATGGGTAATATGTAACTTTTTTTGAGTTAATAAACTTGGCAGGAGGGAGGGGCAGACACTTCACTTCTATCCTTCTTCATGACTTCACTCCTCTTTGCTCCACTTCTGTCTGCCCATTTATACTGTGTATCTGTTTCGTTCTTTTGTGTACCCCCTCAAAGGTAGTCCTCCTCCACAGGTAGTTCCTTTACAGGCAAGGAATACAGAAACAGGAACCCCTGGTGTGAGAATTAATGTTTATAAAGGGTCAGAATATATTAATTGGTTTATCTCCATGTTAATAGATATTCTTTCTGCAGCAGCAGACTGTAATCAGTTTCTGTATTTGTGAAAACCACAGTTGAGATTTTATTGTTGCTGAGGAGAACTTCTGTTCTTCAAAAGCACAACTCCTCTATTAGGTTACCTTGTTGATGTGCAGGGATAGCCTACCAATTGTGTTCATTTAGATTAGCAGTTAGCACAATTATGAATGCATTATTTGGAGTTACTTTTGGTAGTTGCCTCAAATGTTAGAAAATTTAGGAAAAAATTCCTATGGACACATGAAACATGATTGGGACAGTTTTATTTTCTTATATATATATAGAATTTATTGATTTAGTTACAACTCTAAGCTTAGGCAAGTTTTAACAGTCTGTATAATCAATTCTTTTCACAGGTGCTTATTTGACAGGTTTATTTTTTTGACAAGTCAGCTAATAGTATTCCATGACTAGTCCAATTTTCTGCTTGAAGGGAGATAATGGCCAGAATTCTTTCTAAATACACACATCTGGGGGCTGGGGCTGTAGATCAGTGGTAAAGTGCCTGCCTCACACATGTGAGGCACTGAATTCAATCCTTAGCACCACATAAAAATAAATAAAGATATTGTGCCCATCTACAACTAAAAAAACATTTTTAAAAAATATATACATCTGGGCTGGGGCTGGCATGTGTGAGGCACTGGGTTCGATTCTCAGCACCACATAAAAACAAAGGTCTATTAACAATGAAAAAAATTAAAATATATATACATCTGGAGGCTTTGGGATATTGTAGTTAATATTTGTGGAATAATGAGATTTCCTGTAGTATTTTAAGGTAGTGAAATGGACAGACTTCTCATCTTGAATGAACCTCATGTTACTAAGTTCATTACTTATCATTTTGTCAGATTAACAATGGTAATTAGAGGAGGTCTGTATAGGAAGCAAGTTTAACTAAAAGATTTGTAATTATGACACAAGACCTGGAAACAAAGTTAAAATAGAAACTGTAATGCTATCTTCTACCACACTTTGTACTCTGTAGAATGGTACCATTATTGTGCTAATGCTGATGGTCAGTGTTGAGCCTGTCCTTTCCTACCTTAGAGAAAGTCTCTTCTAACCCTTCCCATACACCTTCAGTATGGTTCCATGACTCCAAGAGAGGTTTGTCTCTGGCTTAAAGTCCTCTCAGAGTGAAGCATTTGTAGTTTGATAAGAATGAAATAGAAACAACAAGAAGAGAATCTTGGGCTCCCATATCTACTCAGCTACTGACAGCCATGTCCAGCCACACTGCTGTTAACTTTAAATTAACTATCTCTACTTCCCTCTGTGGCCAACTCTCCATGTTCACTAGATCTCTACATTCCCTTAGGGACATCTTTTCAGCAATTCTCTGCTTTGCATCTTCACCATTTTTCCATCTAAATCCAGCTAGCTTTTCACTCACACTGCTCCTCTAAAATAAAATAACTTGTCAAGCCACCAGTGATGTTCACTGTGCAGTGCAATAGCCAGTTTTAGGCCTTTTCTTCCCTGCTCACTGATTACTCTTCATAATCTTTGGTAGTTCCTCCCCATCTCCCTGACTTCCCAATATTGGAGCATCCCAGGACCTCCTAACTACATTCATTCCCTTTGTTAGGTGGCTATTCAGCCATGAATGGGTGAGCAGGGGGGAAAAAAAATTAAAAGGTAACTGAAAACCACAGGAGCCTTATCTGATAGACAATCACCGGGAAGATGGGAATTTGGTATGTTAAAGCCTTCCCCAGCCTTTTAAACTACCAGTTTGTGGATCATGTTGTCATTATCACTTGTAGCCAAGTCTGGGACCTATCCTCATCACTGAAATTATGGCACAACTCCCATCACCCTGATAGTCAAAACATCAAGACCCTCATAAAGAAAGCTTGATGGCAGCTATTCAGAGGGTAATAAAATGATGAAGGGGGACAGGAAATTGAGGTAAAAGTAGGGAAACTTGATAATAAACCCTTTAAGGGGATGGGAATTGAGACAAAAAAAAAAAAAAACAAAAAACAGATGTACTCAATTTTCTCATAAACAACTCTGAGCACCATACCATTCTCTTTTTGAGGCATTCCATGCAGTTCTTCTGCTATCAGAAGGTGGACTTAGGTGGTACTCTGGAAAGTTCCATTGGATTCCCAATAAAACTGAAGGGTATGAGGGGCAGTATGTTCTTCCTCTCATCTCTGAGTGCCCACTCTCTTCCTTGAGAGTATTCCCCTTTTCTCTTTCCTATCTTTTCTAATAAACAAATGACTGTTACTTTGAGCAAAATGTTTGAAATCTTTCTGACCTGCTCACAAGAATTGTGGTGAAGGTTGGGCCTTTGTGTTGCCTCAGTTTCACTGAAGGCCCCATCCCTGTAACACCTTTGAGTATATTATTCACTTTTGAGACTTTACATACAGTGATATAGATTATATATTCACTAAATTCTGAAGAATCAGCTTGGTGAGAGTATAAGAAAATAAATTCAGCCAACTAATATTTTAAGTTGGTAAGTCTCATATTTTAAGAAATGCAAATATAAACTAATAAGATATCATTTGTATTATGTCATTTATTTGTATTAGGATTCTCTACAGGAACAAAACCAACAGAAATATATATATGTATATTATATACATACATATGTAGATATACAGATATATGTGACATAAAGAGTATTTATTAGATTGGCATACATTATCAGAAGCTGAATAGTCCCACAATGGCCATCTGCAGGCTGGAGAGCTGGAGGAACCGGTAGCTGCTCAGTCCAAGAGGGATAAATGATGCAACCCCACTCTTGATATACCACTTTCTGTTTTATTATCTTTGCTGCCATGAACAAAAGACCTGACAAGAACTATTAGAAGAGAAAAAGTTTATTTGGGGGCTTACTGTTTCAAAGGTCTCAGTCCACAGATGGCTGGCTTCAATCCTTGGAGCCCGAATTGAGGCAGACCATTCTGGCAGAATAGTATGGCAGAGAGAAGCAGCTGGAGATATGACACCAGGAAGCAGAGAGAGGGAACTTTGTTAACAAGGACAAAATATTATACCCTAAAGGCATGACCCCAGGCTCCCACCTCTAGCCACACCCTGCTTTCCTAGAGTTACCATTCATTTAATCCCTATCAATGGATTAAAACATTTGATAACCCAATAATTTTACCTATAAACTTTCTGCATCGTTTTACACATGAGCCTTTGGGGGACACCTCATATACAAACCATAACACATTTTTTTTCATAGATGGTATAAACAACAATATGTTTAACAACTAGATCTGGTGACCATGTAAGAAAGTAGGCACTTTTATATACTGATTGTGTTACTAAAAGCTCAGTTCTTATCTCCAATGCCAATCTGATAATTAGGACATGATTCTGAGAAAAAGGAAAAAGAACTTTTATTTGCTAGTAAAGGAGAAACAGAAGCTGTGATTCTAACTATTGGGGAAACAGGGGACTTTTATTAAAGAGGTGATTCAAAGGCTATGTTCCTGCAGTGTCCTATTGGGTCATAATGCA